CGCGTGAGGGAGGAGTGTGACGTGTGCGCCACCGAGCGAGAGCGCCGGCGCATCGTCGCTGGCTCTGCACGTGAGACGCCTGATCCACAGGCAGCTAAGTTTCTAGAAGGACCTTTCGTGCACGGCTTCAACGCGGCCAAGTATGTAGCTGCACTGCTGCGAGCCCGATGGGTGGCCCACGAGCGGCAACACGTGCTCCTTTGGGTTGTGGCGCAGGATACACCTCTGTTTCAGCTCGAGCCGGAAGCTGCGATCGGGGAGCTGCAAGCTCGCAAAGAAAACTGGCTGCAGCGCCACGACCAGGCCACTGGCGGCATCATGGGCTTGCTGCCTTTGCTTCCCGGCATGCCGGTTCGCGTCACGCAGACTCTGCCCGAGCTGCGGCCACTGCGCTTGTTCAAAAACAGTCGCGCGAAGCTGTTGAACTGGTGCTTGCAGGATGCGGATGCTGCGGCGGTGCAGGCGACTACCGCAACCGAAGTCGTTCTGCAAAGCATGCCGACATGTCTCCTGATACAAGTCGAGGGCGCCACTTGGAAACAGCTACCGAGCCTCCCCGCCGGGGTCGCATGCATCCGGCCAGTGCAGCAGCACTGGAAGGTCGCTGCGACCGGCAGTGCCACCGTTTTGCGAAGAGGCTTCCCAGTGGCTTGTGACTATGCCGGCACAGCGCACTCCTTCATGGGAGCCACACGGCCCGCCTGCACATTAGATCTTGGGTTCTGGGACAGCACGCCCTCGCGAGACGCGCAGCTCAGTGCCTACATGTGTTTGTCTCGCGTGAAGCGCGCCGAGGACTTGTGCGTGAGCCGGCCATTTGGGCCCAACCTCTTGGGCCAAGGCGATCTCACAGGCCCGCGCACGCTGCTCGAAACGCACCGGCAGACCATTACCTTGGACGAAGCCAAGGTGAGGTTCCAGCAGGAAGCCAAGCAACGCAGCCGGCACCCGGAAGTGCTGCTGAGCTGTCGCCTCTGCAGCGTAGCGCGCGCAGGTCAGGAGTCGCTCAAGCCCCTGACCGCTTTCTTGGCGAACGAATACGCCGCCCGCTTCAGCGTCGTGGCGCAGGGCATGGACAGGGTGTGCCGCGCGTGTCGCGCAAAGTGCCCGGCCGGCCAGTCCCGCCAAGCAGAGTGCGGTGATACTTTGTGCGCATGGTGCCAAGGAGTGCCAATGACACAGCCAGGTTTGTGCAAGATATGCAGTACCAAGCCTCTCGCCTGCTCCAAGTGCGGCGATGCCGCCAAAAAAGGCCAAAAGCGCACACTGGCAGACTTCAACTTAGATGAGATTTTTAGAAAGAAACGCACGAAGGAGCTGCGCCGCGCACGCTGCAAGCAGTGTGAAGCAGATGCACCGATCAGAGCCACAAAGGCAGCCAAGTGCAAGCAGTGTGGTCACTGGAAGTCTCGAAGCCACGTGACCGGGCTCGACTCAGAAACCAACGAAGGGATCTGCAGAACCTGTGCCACGCGCAATGCCAAGCCGCCGGCACAGCCGCCGGCCAAGGCGTGCCAGCAATGCGGCAACGCTTTGCCCAAATATGCAACGCCCGGCACATGGTGCGACAGCTGCGCCTTCCCGCCGTGCCAGGGCGGGTGCGGACACGCGCGCCCGCGAAAAAGTGCGTACCACGCCAAAAATCGCCCCACTTGGGTCTGCAACAGGTGTGCCGCCAACAAGTGCAGCCAATGCGGTGGAGACTTGCTACAGACAGCAAACGCAGACTCGTGGTGCGAGAGCTGCGCTTTCCCGCCATGCCAGGGCGGGTGTGGACAAGCCCGTCCACGCAAAGGCGAGTGCCGCGCCAGAGTCTGTCCCAACTGGACTTGCAACCAGTGTGACGCATGCACGTGCAGCCAATGCGGCGGAGACTTGCCAAAGACGGCCAACGCAGACTCTTGGTGTGACAACTGCGCCTTCCCGCCGTGCCAGGGCGGGTGTGGACTTGCCCGCCCGCGAGCGGGAGTGTATCGTGCCAGAGTGTGCCCCAACTGGACTTGCAACCAGTGTGCCGCAAACACGTGCAGCCAATGCGGCGGAAGCTTGGCAAGGGCGGCCAACGCAGACTCTTGGTGCAACAACTGCGCCTTCCCGCCATGCCAAGGGGGGTGTGGGCGAGCGCGCCCCCGCAGGGACGAGTACCGCGCCAGACGTTGGCCCTCCTGGGTGTGCCGTGAGTGCGCGCGCAAGCCAAGTGAGACTCCCGGCCAAAAGCGCCACAAGCAGGGCTGAGCTTCGACACAAGTCAGACAGGCCGGACCAAAGTTATGCTCAGGTTGCGCAGGGACTTGTCCGCACAAAGGAGTTAAAACTCAAAAGCGAAGTTTCAAGGCAAGTGAGAAAAAACTTCCAGCCACAGGAGCAGAGCCAGCCAGAACGTGGCTCCGGCCATGCGAGCATGCAGCTCGGCCCAAGCGTGCTGCTCGGACAAGCCTAGCTTGGAGCAAGCGTCATTATCGTTCAAGACGTGTTGGCGCGGCAGACAGAAAAAGGCCGTGGCAAACATGTGATGTGATCATTCGAGACACCTCTTCTGCTGTCTGCGTCTCGCTGTCTAGCGGGCCGTTGGCAGTTTTTTTCGTGCTAGGCTTCTGGTCAAACAACCAAGGCTTGTGTTATGATCTCGGTGGGTTTGGTGGTCTCGCAACAAGCCCCCCCCTCAAAAAACCGCTCGGGTTTTTGACTCTGCACGGAAAGTGTTTTAAAAAAAGAAGCCTCAATTTTCCATACATTATCCAGCTGTTTTCCATGCATTTCCATCCTTTGTCCATGCATTCCATCATTTGCTACCCATTTTCCCGCAAGTGTCCATCTATTGCCCACCCATTTTCCGCGAAGTTTCCATCCATTGTCCAGCAATGTTCCATCCATTTTCCATGAAGTTGTCATCCATTTTCCACAATCCATTTCCATCCACCTTTCCCTTCATTTCCCCACATGTCCCTTACCGGCACGGACAGCGCCCCCTGCATGCTCCAGCAACTTTCCATCCAGCTTCCATGAAGTTTCCATCCATTTTCCAGACATTTGCGATCCATTTCCAGTCGCCTTTCCCTTCATTTCCCCACACGTCCCTGAACGGCGTGGACAGCACCCCCTGCATCGACTGCATCATCCCAAGCAATGTCCGCCATGGATGCTCAATCGTTGCACCCTATTGCAATCCTTTTTCCATTCATTCCATCAATGCATTTTCCAGGAACTTTCCATCAATTGTCCACACATTTTCCATCCATCCCCTTTCCCTCCATTTCCCACATTTTGTTCATCAACGCCCCTTCATTTCCATCAATTTTGCATCCTTTTTGTCCATCCTTTTTCCAGCCCATTCCATCCAGCCATTTCGCATGAATTGTTTAT